GAGGAACCCAAGCCACAGCTTCTCACAGGGCTATGGGGACATTCCTCAGGGCAGGGAGTGGGCTGAAGGAAGCTCATAGGCTCACACCTCATTTTCCCAGGGGAAGCCACACAGTGAAGTCATCAGGCTGTTGTCCTGTGCTGGTCTGCGTCACTGACCCTGGGTTGGAGCCCAGAGATGGTCAGGGAAGCCACACAGCCTGATCTGCAGCAGAGATTCCCTCTGAGGTCCCTGAGGGTCAGCTGTCCCAGAGTCAGCTAATACTCCCAGAGTATCAGGAGTCTGTGGACATGCCCCAGGGGCTGCTGGTGCCAAGCTGTGCCCTGGCTGACAACATCATCCTGATTCCAGTGTAGGTGACTGGGAACATCTGTCCTGGGAACTTGACCACTGAGGGTGGCGGAGTCAATCCTGCCTGGGCCACAGACACTGGAGGGGACAGTGAGGTCAGTAAGGTGGGAAGGGAGCACAGGGGTTTTGAGGCTGCCCCCCTCACCAGAGTCTCCCACCCAGGCCAGGTGGGCCTCACTTGTGCAGAGAGTGAGGAGGACAAACAGGACAGGGCCCCGTCATAGAGCAGGTGCTCAGGGATCTGCATCCCCAGACTCCTGCAGGGACCGTGGGTTCCCCTAGTGACCTTCTAGTCTCCGTAAGTCCCACTGGGGGTAGAATTTCCTCCATTCAAACCTGTCCCGGCACCCTGACCACCCGCACCTCCCCAGCTGCAGGCTCTGTCTCTGTTGTCTTGAGGAGGAAGCGGAGGGTGAAGACTTCACCTGGACCAGGCCCAGGTGGGGTGAAGAAGCCTGGCCGGTGATGGTCTGAGGGTGCTGGGAGGACCTGACAGCTGCAGTCACCTCCCATCACAGCTCTGCACAGTCATAGCGCCCCCTGCTGGCCCCACATCTCCTGGTATCATCAGGGCACAGACCTGCTGAGTCCCCTGACACTGCCCAGGTGTGTCCTTGGTTGTACTGTTCAGCTCCCCAGGTGCAGGTGCTCAGGGTGGACATGGGGACACCAGTGGGGCTGTGAGTAGAGACTGCGGGAGCCATGTGATAAGCCGAAGCCACTCATAGTTCTCATTTACACTTAATTTTACAAAAGAAAGCAAAGAATAAGTGTCACAGACCTCATCTGTGCTTAGTAAATTTCTTCGTACAACTGAGGAGTTGGCAACCCACGGCCTTTTCCAGGGATGCATCTCATGTTTATGGTATGTTTGAAATAGTTCCCCGTTTCTCGTTCTCAATGTTATCCATCCATCTCTCGGGGATAATGGAACTTTTGTGAATGATCCTCACCCTGTCTGCATCAGTGGTTACCCATTATGGATATTTCCATAAACACAGTCCTGTGATATGTGCTGGGATATCTGGCTCATTTGTTTCCATGAGCATCATTTCTCAGGGGCCACCGTCACCCAGCAGGTACCTGTACTTCACACCTTATCACAGCGGAGTAATATTGCCTTGCCTGGGTGAGGGGTCTGTAGTATTCCCACGTGCATTTCATGGTGATATTAACAACCCTGTGCACTCCTCATCATGGCTACAGCTTGTGGTGCAGACCAGGGCTGGGGCTTCTGTAGCTTCAGGAAATGTAGTCTTTGACTTCATGTTGCTTAGAAAACCATTCAGTCTTCACAAAAACCATTAGTGGTCTGTGTTGCTACTTGTATTAGCAGATGGCAACAAGAAATATACTAATTAAAATAATCTGTCCAAATGGTGTACCAGGATTCAAAGCCAAGGTCTTTCTGAAGGCTGAGGAAATGCCCTGTGACTGAGTTCTGTCAACCAGGGCTGGCTTTGCCTCCAAGTAGGGGACATTTATGTGCAGGGTCTGGTCACACTTTCATTCTCATTAATGAGGCGAGGTGTGTACAGAACCTAACAGGCAGAGACCAGAGATGCCACTAAAGATGTCGCAGTGCACAGCACAGCCCCAACCACACAATGTTAATAGTGTTCTTGTTCACAAACTCCGTTTTAAATTACACCTACCCTCTGAATTGATCCTAAATAAATTTGATGACCGGTCATCAAGATAGAGAAGGATGAATTGGTATTCTGAAAAGAAAATAGACACACCCAACTGAAGTATTGAAGCAGAAAAGATAAAAGAGCTTCACATCCTTCCCAGGTTGAGGGTAGACCCAGGGCGAGGACGCTCTGGGGAGTTTTTGTCTCACTTCCCCCTTGGTCTGGAGCACTGTGTGAATGTCACTGTTATCATAAGACTGACAGTAGTAGTCGGCCTCATCCTCAGCCTGCAGCGCAGAGATGGTCAGGGAGGCAGAGTTGGAGGAGCTGTCAATGGAGCCCGAGAACCGATCTGGAACCCCAGAGGGTCTTTGGTTATCGTTATAGATCACAGTGGTGGGGGCTCTACCCGGCTGCTGCTGGTACCAGTGCACATAGTAGCTTCCAATGTTGCCACTGCTACGAGTGCAGGAGATGGTGACTTTCTGTCCTGGAGACCCTGACACAGAGCGGGGCTGAGTCAGGGCAAAGTCAGCCAAAGATCCTGCAAAGAGGGAGGGACACAGAGATCAGTGAGAACAGACGGGACCCTGTTCCAGGAAGGAGGGAGGGGTCACCATCCCAGGTGACACCCAGGAGTGCCTCCTGAGTCCCCTTCAGGCAGCCACCTGTGCAATGGGTGAGCAGGGTGAGGAGGAATGGCACCCACGCCATGGGGACGCCTGAGTTCTGCTCCCTGATCCTGAGCCAGAACTGAGTCCGCTGATTCTTATTTGTCTCCCTGACTCTCAGGGTGGGAGGTCTCCATGCAAATGTCTCCCTTTCTGGGGGCAGCACGAGCTCCTCCTTTCAACCCACACTGGCTCAGGCTGAGAAGTAGAGACCCCACACCAGGAGAAGGCTGCACCCTGGGAAAGCTTAGAACACCTGCTAGTGGGGGAGGGGAGACAGTCCAGGAGCCTGGGAGCCCGAGCAGATGTGAGCACACAGAGACATCTGGTGGCCGCAGGGGACAAGGAGGCCCTGATAGGGGCTGGTGCTCAGGGCTCCCCCCTTCCCACTCCACACCCCCCACAGTTCCAGCCACTGTCCCAGGGTCTCTGCTCAGTATCCTGTCCTCACTGCGCATTTGTGTCCAGATGGGCCAATGGCCACCACTCTGGTGAAGACATTCTTATTCACCCTGTGTCATTGGAGGTTTGAGTACCAGAGGAGCAGAGGGCTGTGCTGAAGGAGAGAGAGGTGAGGGCTCTGCCCTCTCCAAGAGGGAGACTTGTGGACAGTTGTGTGCTCTGCACTGAAAGGAGGCCCAGCCATTCAGCTAGAAAGAGAGAGGACCGTGGGATCAGGGACCAGACTTCACCTTCAGAGACCCTGTGGGGGAGAAAAATTTAAGAGGACAGGGATGGGTGGTGTAGGTGTGACCCAGGGGACAGTTTAATCAGAGCTCTCCATCAATAACTTCTGTGAGTAAAAAACAAAAAAATTAATAAATCACATAGATTCAAAAGGAATTTAAATAGAGAATTTGCACAGTTAGTGGTTGATTAGTTCTCTGAGTAAGAGAAAGACGGGAGAATTGGCAGTGTTTGTATGTAGACAAGTTGGGTGTCACTGTTGCCACCCTAGGGGTTATGCAGAACCCGCTGGAGGAGCTGTGCTTAGGGTTTGCTTTTCTATTTGGGAAAGCTGGGTGCCAGGGACTGAGCAGATGGCAACATAAAGGCAGAGTCTGTTGTCACCAGCAGTGGGCTGTGCTGGCACAGGGCTGGACTGTCTGCACACGACAAGTTCGATGATGAAGGTGGAACCATGGGAACTTTCAGTGAGTACGGGGGTGGAAAGACGTCACAAAGTCATTTTAAGTTTGACAAAGCTGTTCTTTATGTATTCAAGGACTTATGGGCCAGGGGTGGTGGCTCACAGCTTTAATCCTAGCTCTGTGGGGGGCTGAGGGCAGTGTATCACCTGAGCTCAGGAATTTGAAACCAGCCTGAGCAAGACTGAGACCTTGTGCCTCCTAAACAAACAAACAAACAAAAACCTATCTAGGCATTGTGGTGGGCACCCGTAGTCCCAGCTACTCTGGAGGCTGAGGCAGGAAGATCA